ATCAAATAAAATGTACCCCTTTTACAAATACAATTTGATTATTAATGATGCATGTATGTTCTAGTATAATACCATCTCAGTCAAGATGTGTAACATCTCCATCACCCCAGAAAGTTCTTTCATGCCCTTTGGACCCAATTTCCCTCCACCTTTTCCTTAGACAGTTAGTGATCTGACTTCTATCACAATACATACAGTTTTTCCTACTCTAAAACTTTATAAAATTGGAATCATAGGTTATGTGTTCTTTTGTATTGGCTTCTTTCATTCATAGTAGATGAACTAGGTTTTCATCTGTGTTATTAGTTAAGTTTAGTAGTATTCCAGCATATCCATACAGCACAATTTGTTTATTGATATACCTGTATGAGATATTTAGGTTGTTTCCAGTTTTTGGCATCTTCATTTTTAAGGAAACAGTGGACTATTTCTATATATAGTCTCTCTGCTTAGTTTCCAGGACAAAGAAACCAATGTTTATGGTTTTAAATCCCCCAGACATATGGCCCAGCCAACTTTTTTTTCTTGGATGCCGCTTTGTCGTGCTTCAACTCAGTGGTGCATGGCCCTGGCTTGTGAAGAAATCCTCATGGGAAATGTTGAAGGTATCTGGGAAAATAAATAAATAAATGGAAGAGAAGCAATGGAAATGGGATTTTTGCTTTTGTCCATGTTACAAGTCTCCCCTGTGGCAAAGAGCCACAAGATGGTGCAGCAAATGGATTGGGGAAGTAGCAAAGTGAAAATGAAAAAAACTCTGGGAGGCTCCATGGTTTAAAATCTACCTTGTTGTCCCACCACATGGCGAACTCTAGTCTAACTAAAACACATTTAACACTTAGCCTAGGGCACGGGAAGTAAAACTGGTGGCCCACATGTCAAAAGGTGAGTTTGTTTTTTATTGTACAGAATTTTAAGATAATAGTAATCCAGCTTTCATTATTTAATTATGTTGTGTGTGTGCACACACATGCATGAGTATGCACTCAAGTGGATACACAAGACACAGGAACACACACACAATCTGGACTTTTTAGTAACTCTGGGTCCTTATTCTCTTCAGATAATAAGGTAATAATCCCAAGAGTATTTTTGGTAAAGAAACTGATAAATGTGAAGGACTATCTGCATTTGGTTATTAGTCCACCTTCCATGAAATAATATACATAAAATAAATTGGCCACATTGAATTTATTTCTAAAATACCCAATTGAACATGTACTTACAAAAAGCAATGACCTCTTTGGGTCTTCAGTGGCTCCTCTGTCTACTATTTTGATGAGTCCTCCAATATTTTATCACCCACTTCCCTAATTAATTTGTTGTTGTTCTTAGCACTTACCACATTCTGACACTCTGAATATCCTAGTTACATATTGGGCTACTTGTTTGTCTTACCCTCTTGAATGTGAGACATGCGGGCAGGTACCATATCATGTTTCTTTTGACTGAACCCCTGACACCTAGAACAGTGTCTGACATGGAGTAGTCATCCTTACCTATTTGCTAAATGAATTACTTTATAAGATACCTGAGGATTTTCACAAAAGACAAACTTAACTAGATAATCTGTGTATCACTAACCTTGATTTTTTTGGTGTGAAATATTTATATTAAAAATAATATTATTTATTGTGTGATTATCACGAGCCAGACAGTGTCCTATGAAGTTTCCACATTTCCACTCACTTAATGCTCAGAACAATGTAGGTATGTACTATTAATAAAATTATTTTACAGACAGGGAAACCAATGCATAGGAAAATTCAATATCTTGGCACAGAAGGAAAAGTCTGAGTCCACAGCCTAAGCTTTTAGTGTCTATGATGCAATGTCCCTCAAAAGAGAACCATCTAAAAGGAAGAGCATTAGATAAGAAAAGATTTGATTTTGTCAAAAAAAAAAATGTTTCCAATTTTTTGGAAAAAAACCGTTTCACAGGGATATACATACCCTGGGACTCACCCCAGAGCTGTGAGGAAGGGCAGGGATAACTATGGTTTAACTTCTCTTTTCAGAATCACACTTCCTAATGAATGGGAGACTCTTCACTGTGTGAGTTTAATTGTATACATAATTTCTCATTCCTACCTTATTCTCCAAGCCCCACTCTCTTCCTACTCTGACCTTTTACAAGTGCTGGTGAAGACAATTTCCCAAGAATACACTCCTTGACATAGTCTACAGTTCAGCAATCTGCTTATTTCTCTGGGGGGGAAAAAAGAATACATGCATTTGTATGTGCAGCGGTTATTTCTCAATATATGTACCAGACATACTGAAAAGGAGATGGAACATACTTTCAGTTTCACTTCCACACAACTAGGTAGGAGGAAAAAAGCCATAGCCAGTGAATTTTTTACTGTTGAAAAAACAGTTTTCTGGAAAGAAATAGTTGTGGAAGGAAATGGATCTCCTGGAAGCCATAATTAGGTTCTATGGAGGTTTAGGTGATCAGAACTGAGGAAGAGGGATGGGAGGGAGGAGGGAAGAGGCCCAGCAGACTTTTGCAGACTTTAGAGGGGAAAGGCCAGGCCAGAAAGGAACTGGGACTGCGCTCATATCCTGCTGTCATTTTGCAGTCTTAACCGAAGTCTCCAACATTGTAAATCTGACGGCGGTTGCAGAGTCAGCACAGGATGAGGACCAGCAGCTGCTGTCCCCAAAGGAAGGAGGCAAACACAGTTTTATTATTTTATATTCAGAGTTGAATAAGCACAGAGTGCAAAATGATCATCTCTGCTTTTCAGATACTAACTTGGGGATAATATTTAATAATTCTGTTTTTAGCCCACTCCATGAGCATGCATGGGTAACACTGGGGGAAAAAGTGGGACGGTGATAGAATAAGGGAAGGGATTGCCCAACTGTGTGGACAGGGAAATTTTACTGATGAAATCTCAGGGAGGCCATTCCCTGTTGATGGCATGAGAGGAAAATGAGGCTGATTTCATGACTTGAGAAGTCCTTGTGCTCCAAACAGTCAAGGTCCTGAAGGAGAAGAGGAGGCAGTTTACTCAGTGGGCACAGGTACCATAAATGGCTTGCCGGATGAATTATTAGAGAGAAAGGTGCTGAACCAAGAAGAGATGGAGAAAGTAAGAGATGAAAATGCTACAGTTATGGATAAAGCCTGAGCTTTGATTGATGCTGTCATTCGGAAAGGGCCCCAGGTGACTGACACCTTGCAGGGACTCTGAAGCTCTCCTCAGGTAAGGGTCAATGGCTCAGACTAGAGTTCACATATTCCCTCTGTCTCTGTGCCCAACATTTGATTTCTTTATTAGTCATGTTACTTTGCAGACAACTTCCTTATTTCTGGCTTCAGGGCTCCATTTCTGTACGAGGGCCTATTGCATGTCCTCTGACTCTTCTTGTTCCTCTTCCTTCACCCTCAGTGGCCTTCGTCTGATTAAAGTTCATTTCTTGTTCTGACTACGTGGTAGGTCATTTGTTAAAGTTCACGAGAGCTATTGGAAAATCTTCATACTCTGTGTTCCAGTTCCCCTGGCAAGGCACATTATTATTATTATTATTGCTAATTTATTTATTTTTGTTAAGCCCAGGGTGTCCTTAGACACTTATGCTGTTGTCCGACATGAAGATTTAAGGTCTGTAATCTAAAACTTTTTATAACTTCTCTCCAAAACTTTGCTATATAGGAAAAATAAAATATATTTCAGTGATGGGGAAACAGAGAATAAGTTGAATGATTCTAAAAAAGTGAGGATTTCAAGTGGGCTGTTTCCTCCAGTTGCCTCCTTGCATTTTCTTTTGAGGAAGATCGCCAACTGGCATGGTACCCTTCTGCATACCATTCTGTGAGGCCTAACGCTCCAGCTCCAATCCCCTTGAGGCCTGATACAGGGCTGGGGCTTTCTTCTGATCTGGACCAAGCTTATGACCCATAGACCTTCCACATGGGGAAAATGAAGCTCTGGGGGAGTCCCAGCTACTCATCTCTGCTGTGCATTCCAAAGCCACTTCAGAGGGAGTTGCTCTTTAAGAGCAAGAAACCTTTTTTTCTAAGAATTAGGGGAGGCCTATGCCTGTCTGAACTAACTTTGCTGATGTTTTCCGTGTTCGTCTACGTGTAGCGAATTTCTTGTTTTTCTTTCAATACTTCTTTTTTTTTATTTTGAAATAATAAAAAGTGCATTTTTATTCTGTTAATTTGAAATAAATTTACATGTTAACTGTTTTATCTAACAGGTTGATTGTTTTCTGAGTATTTTATCATTCATGGCCTTGAAAATCTCCCTTTCTATGTTTTTATCTAAAATATTTGTAAAAGTGCTGATTCTCAGATATGAAGGTAGATTCCTGTATTACTCCACTTGAAATGTCCCCTGGCTTGGACTGTGTTCCATTAGAAGTGAACTCACTGAACCGTGTTAATGACTACATCGGGATTATCCTCCCAGGAATGCATTTCCTCCTCTCTGGCTTCATGCGTAGATGATGCTGTGAGGAACATATAGCGGGACACACAGGGACACCATTTTCCGTGATGTTCCTTGTCTCTTGCAGCTCCTCAGCCAGTGCAGGACAACCCAGCTAAGCTCACATTCTCAGCTCCAGGAAGGAACCTCAAGCTTTGCCCCCTTGAAACAGCCCAAAGGATCTGGGAAGAACAGTCAGCAGAGGCGCCATGCTCAGAACACAAGGACGGAGGCGGGTGAAAGATACACTGGAGGCGATTCTGAAGTGCAGTGGCTTTTCCTTAGAGCCAAGTTCATTGAGAGGTTCTGGAGAATCATCCTGCCGTTCCCCTTGCTCACAATATCTGCAACACACAGTTCGACAATAAAGGATCCCTATGTCCTAGAATCCCAGGTTTGTACAGGGAGTTCCAAGTTTGATCTAATTCCTTGAGTAAATAAAAATACTCATAACGATAGCAATGGTAGCTATTGAATGCTTAGTATGACTCAGACACTGTTCTAAGCATTTTGCACATACTGATACCTTTTACCTTAACAATAACCCATTTCATAAATCAAGAAACTGAGGCATGGGATGGTGAAATATTTTGCCCAAATTCAAAAAATCAGAAGTTGGAGGAGTCAGTCTTAAAATCCAGTCATTCTTTCTTCAAAGCTTATGCATCTTTCAAAATCCTACCTGTCAAGAATTATTAAGTCAATAGCTCAGCTGGCATCTGAGCATTTGTAAACTCCATTCCTACTCCTGTAGCAACACTAAATCCCCTTACCTGTTTTGAATGTATACTCATGGGATTTGATTTCTTGATAGGACTATGAAGGGAAAACAGTCATAAACCTACAAGATTAATATTTAATGAGATATAATAAGGCTATTCATCCAATCTGTATTTCCTACAGATTTAACCAATAATGGAAAGGTCGACCCAAACATGTCTTGCTCACATTATCTGCAACACACAGTTTGACAACCTTCCTGCAGGGCCAGACCTGATGTTGATATCAGAGATATGAAGAAGCTGCTAGAAGATCTAGGGTACTGTGTGGATGTGAAAGAAAATCTCACTGCTTCAGTAAAGACTATCATACTGTAAAGACAATGGTCATGTCCTTTATATTTATAAGTAATGTTTGAAAGCTTGGTTGTAGCACCAGGTAACATAATCTCTTGATAGTCTAAAATCTACGCTTTCCTTTGGAGGATGCTTGATGTTACATATTCCCTTCTAACATAAGCATCTTTTAGCAAAAGCCTGGGTAACTCTTAATTGGAATGTGTTCTATTAACTCAATAATGCTACCATCCTTCTACTAGAAATCCATAGATGACTCCCTGTAACACTTTTCTTCACCTTTCTCCAATTGAATACTTAAATTTTATTTTCTACTCCATTGATTTTCATGTTTTTTTTTTACAAAAATCCTTGAGTGTTTCTTTATTGATTTCCCAGGTGTCACGACAGTGAATCACATAGTCCAAAATTAGTGGTCTGGTATTTTTCAGGACATGACTACAGAGCTGAAGCATTTGCCGCCCACCTAGAGCACTGGACCTCTGACAGCACTTTCCTGGTGTTCATATCTCATGATATTCAAGAAGGCATCTGTGGGAAGAAATGCTCTGAGCAAGTCCCAAATATATTAGAAGTTAATAACTTCTTTCTAATGTTGAATGCCTGGCACCATCCAAATTTCAGGGGACAAATCCAAGATCATCATCATCCAGGCCTGTCATGTTGGTGAGTGCTGATGTCTGTGACACACAACACATTCAAATACTGACCTCGTCATCTGTACGCATCCAGTATTTTTCAGTTTTTGTGTTTGTTTCTTAATGTCAAAGAACACCTACTCTAACTAGTCAGAATTGTGGTTTCTATGAATTGCATGGATGGTTG